TTAGTTTCTATAGTTTTTGAGAAACTAACAGTAACCAATAATTGGTTAATTGCTGTCCTTTAAGAAAGATAATTTAACTGAAGGCAATTAATTTCCAGAGTGTCTGTGTAGAGTTGGTATTAGTTCCATGGATACCATACAAAGATGCTATAAGATGCATATGCTGCTTCCTTTACATCAGTGCCAGGGTTGCTTCCTACCGGCACACTTTGGTTATGCCCATGTCATTGATCATTGAGTTTCTAGCATGGAACCCAGTGTGTGCTATGTAATTAGACTGAAGCTTTAGTAGAGGCTTTAAGGAAGGGTTGGGTTTTTCTTTAGGGATAAGGTAAGAGGAAACTTAAAGCAAGAAAGCATGGAGTCCTAAGAAAGCATAGAAACTTCAAGTCATAGCAAACAGTAGGCATGAAACGTATAGGAATGTGGGAAAACTCAGTAACCTGCATAGCCTGCTTCAGGCTATGGATCTAAATATTGTCGTCTTCCTAAGTAACACAGTTAACACTGGCAACATGCCTGGGACTTGGAGCCTCACTAAGGAAGCTTCATAACGGGTATTTCAAAAGGTGAGGGTGACCAAGATTCCATGTATTCCTGTCTCCTGCACCCAGTTCCTTCACATACTCAATTAGTTTTTAGAATCAGGGATTTATGTTTGATTGAAAACCACATGTTTAATATAAAAGCCCTACAATAATTGAGGGTAAGACCTGAAATTTGTAAACCCAAAAGTAATATAATCAGGTTTCTGTTAGAACATTTGGAGATGCAAATTCAAGTTGGGAGCCACACTAATTGAGAGTCTATGATATAAATAATGATGGATCAAATTATGATTGGGAAGAAGTGGTCATCATGACTAATACAGAGTATTCCTTGATGAGGAATGAAACCCTGAACAGTTGGGAACATCCAATATTTAGTGCTAGGAAATTGATAGATTTGGGGTGCCACTCACCAAGAGAGAAGGTACAAGAAGAAGTTTTGAGTAGAATATAATTAGTTTACTTTCAGACATAGTTTTAAAATATCTTATGGAACACCCAGAGGATGAGCTACATGTGGATATACTTTATGAACTAAAGAAACAGTTTTCAGTTTCATAGGGAGTAATTGAAGAATTTTATATTTGACTTTAGCTATATTTAAGTGATGTGAACAAATGTCATTGTGTTAAGATTGTGGGGATACATTTAAATGAGCTTAAGGAAGTTTGGAAAGTTCTATAAATGTTTCTAGGGGACAGTATCAATAATAGGCAATTTTATAAAATATTTATTTTAAAGCTTAAGAAGTTTTAAGGTCAGATAAGCACCAGGTATTAGGAATTCATAGTGTCAGCAATCTCTATATTTGTGAAAGTCATCTCAGGTAATACACTATTAAAGTTGAAGTGATAAAAATATGAACTCAGAATATCAATTTATATTTGGGAGGTTGGAGTACTTGTAGAAAATGCAGAATTCTAACTCAATGAAAAATGTTTATAAAGTGATTTACTCTAAGGATGAAAGTAAGAAGAGTAGTTCCTCATTGAATTGGCATAAAAGTGGAAGATTAGGGACCTGGCATTTATAAGGGGCAGAAGAGGCATGAGACTTCTGAAGATATTTTATATTATGAATATTTTCAAAAAATCCAAATTCCAAAATGGGAAGAGTAGAAGTGATTTTACCTTCATGTAGATAATAAAAGTACTTTATTTTGTAACCAAGTATTTCAAAAAACAACTCACCCATATTATGAAATTCCAGATGAATCATTAGGTATTTCAAGTCAAACAAAACACTGCTACTCATATGCATATACTTGTGCACAAACCTTATACCTATTTATATTATATTTTTATATTTAAAAAAATTATTCTATGAAAACTAAATGTCTTACTTGCAATATATCTCCTATATTTGACTATTAATCTTTGATGAGAGAAATTTTCTTTTCTTTTTAATTTTGCATTTTATTGAGGAACTCTTATTTTTCAGCTGACATGCACAGTAATGAATAGCTATCCTATTACTGGTGGTATTGTGGTAATTGAATATGGTGAAATCTAACAGGAAAAACAAAAAAACCATGATGGTACCTTTCTGTTCAAAAGTCACTGTGATTTTTCAAACACAAATACACCTTATCTAGATAATACATTATTACAAAGGAAGGTTCTGGGAACAGAAAGACATTTATGTTTTCAGCTTCTGAGTCAAGAAAACCTTGGCCCTTGAAGATTTCATTGCTGTCTAGTGTTCCTTGTTCTTTAGGATAAACTATCAAAGATATTTCTGAAAAGAAATTAGGGTAGAAATGGTCTTGAAAAGGACACTATGCACTTAATTCTACAATGTGGAGGCCAAACTTTGAAAAGAAATGGAAGGTAATGTATCATTGCTGCATGAGGGCTTAAGGGTGACACAGCCTTTTTCCTTTCAAGTCGGTCTTTGAACAATGAGACTGTCCCACATGAAGTGCAGCCTAAGGACAAACCCTTCCTTATTTTTTCCCCTTGATTTGGTTTCTACTTCTAGTAAATCAGACATCTTCTATTTAGCACTTAATATATGCTGTTAGAAGAAAAGTAAATTTAAGTATAAATAAGTTATTAAAATCTCTTTCTTTTACATCCTATACAGACAACATAAACATGTATAGGATGTAAAAGAACGAGATTTTAATATTTGTTATATCCAGGTTTACAAAAGGAAATTACCAAGTTGAGAACACCTTCTTCTTTCTCAAAATCCAAGGACAGTATTAGTTAATGCAAACTGCAAGGTCAGGTTTGTTATTTTATTCAATTCCAATTACATGCAATCAATTATAGCAGGAAGAGAGAACTGGGAAGTTTTAATTTCTAGGTCAATAAGGAATCATCTCATTTTAAAATGTTTATTCTGGAACATTATTCAACTCTCACACTATAATTTATGGACCAACTATTGAAATTCAGTCTGAGAAAAAACAGCAGGTGTGATGGTTTTTTTTTAATTCATGATGTAATAGGAATTATTTAAAGAACTAAAAATATATTAGAGGAAAAAATATGGTAAACATGGTAAGTTGGCATATATCTCATGGGTTACCATATGAAAAGTGTTCACTTGATTTTTAAAAGTTTGTACCAACAGCTGACAGCTCTTAGAAAATTAGGTAACATTCTTAACAGAGAGGGTAGAGTCACCACATAAGGTGTAATAATGCCAACAGTTGATCAGATATCCTAGCTTTGTTCAAGGCTCAACCACCTGTTTCTTAATTATATATTTTTAAGTTTTTAATTATCAGTGTAGTAGCTATTAAACTTTTCCTGTCTCTTATTCAGCACTTCAATATTCTACTTTGTGATATTAAGGTTCTTGTTCTTCAGATCATTGGCTGCTCTCCCAGGTCCCTGAATTACCTCCAGGGAATTTGGAACATCACAACAATTTTCATAATAATACTAAGATAATGTTTGACTCTCATTCTGTCATGAATGTACAGCAAGGTTCTCAAGAGGCCCTATGGTATATGATATGGCAACAGAAACAAGCACATGTTAAGATTATCCAATGGTCCTCGGTAAAGATAGGCATTAAAGAGATTAGTAATCATGCAGAATCATGCCCCATTTCTCAGTCATTTTGTTTTTTAAAATAGCTATTTTTAATAAAATAGGTTAATTTTGTTAGCATGAAGTGGGTTGATTATTGTTATTTTTAGAATATCTCATCTTCAATACAGTAAATACCAATAGATACCATATACATAAAGAAAAGAAATATGATATGTCAAGATCACTGTAATGTTTTGAGCAACCAATAAAAAAAAGAAAATTATTTCTGATCCACAATAATATTTAAGCCTTCAGAAAATCCCTTATATTGAAGAGTGAGAAATATTTCAATGCCTACATTTCTCTGTTGCCAGCTGAACTCCTACTGGGTCTTTAGGGTACACTAGATAGAGACGGAAGGCAGGAGGAAGGGGAAAGGGCAGGCTCCTGCTAGGCAGTCAGCTCTTCATCATTTCATCCCTACAACACATGGTTCCAGTGGCAGTAGTTTCTATTCTCCAGCTTAATGCCTTGCTAACAAGGGACAGGAGCTTTCTGTTACATGGTCCAACACAGACCACCATGATGCACCCTCATGAGAGCTCTGAGGTCCAGGGCTACAGACTCCTTCTTGAACTCCTGATCTATGAAAGTCAGCAAGGAAGAACCTGCTCCACAGCAGTCTTAGGGCTAGATCTTCCAGGCGATGCTCTCATCTCAGAACTATTTCCCGGATCAGGAGGTCCTTCCTCCATGCCTTTGGGTTTTGATTACTTTAACCTAGGGTCAGCACATGATTCTTACTGTTCTTACTATCTAAACATTGTGTCCTCCCTTTGCTTTTTCAATCCTCCACACCATTAAGACAATTTCTGATTTTGCATTCTTTTGTGTAATACAGTGAAATTTCCATTTTCCTAACTGGATGGAGATTGATACTGTTATCAACAAGAATTAATGTACTTCTACATCGCTAAAATACTACCCATAACAAGAGAGCCAACCACCTTTGTGTTAAAAAATAATAATTATCAGAGATATAAATAAAAACCATATTCTGAGCTTACAAATCGAAAATTGTGAAAGTATACTGGTAATTATCATAATTGATTTTAAATATTATAAGTTTTCTAGACATACTGCTTTGAGATTATATTTTCAAATATACAGTTGTCTATATTTGGTCATTTAAAAATAATACTTTTCTAAACTTTATGTCTTAAAATTATTACCTCAACCTGGACTTGCAGGTCAAATGATAGATAATGATGGATTATATGTTCTCTAATGTTTAATTATTATTTGGAGACATTTTAAATGATTTACACAATCACAGTGTAGATTATAAATCCTGAAAAAAAGACAATTTTAATCAAATTGTCATTTCCCTTTTAATGAGAACTTGATACTAATTTAGCTTTTGAGATTTTAACTGAATAGACACTTTTAAAGTAAATAAACTTACCACCTGAAAGGAGAGCAGGCTTACTTTTAACCATTGGGCTAGAATGAGGAAACTTGTTGCTAAATGACATGAAAAGGTGTGCAGTGAAATCATCGGGAAGCTCGGCTTCCAGGAATGTCTTCATGAATAGCTTGAAACCTTCAAAATCTATGGTCTGAAAAACAATTTTTAAACATATATTTTAAGATCCAGCCAAAGGTTATGATTTAGTGCTATCTTCAAAATCATTAGTAGACATTACCTCCAACATTTGTTATATCCAGGTTTACAAAAGGAAAATACCAAGTTGAGAAATAGGTTGGCCAGTCCTACACTAACATTGGCAATGGGATATATGTCTCACCTGTAGTGGTGTAAGCAGGAAGAGAAGGAAATTTCCAGTTAGATGTTTCTATTTCCACAGTATCTGTATGACCTTAAAAATTTGCTCTCTGAAACTCAATTTTGTCCTCTACAAATTGGTGTTCTTATTCCTGTCCCACCAAGTGACAATGATTAGATCAGATGATGGTGTGAACAAGCCAATGCAGAGTCTTACAATCCCAACAGGCACACACAAGGAAAGGAGATCCTTATCTCCTTTTCTTGTTCATAATGGTGAGTACTGCTTTTGACAGTTGTCAAAAGTTGCTGACTTGTTCCAACTAAATACCGAGATCACTTGATACAATAGTACAAAACTTCATGCACAGACTTTCAAACAAACATGATTCAAGATCATTACACACCCTTCTTCATTATAGAACTATGTTGATTAGAACTTAATTCAAAGAGCATTATTATGGCACTGAGTGTTACTGTGTCCACATGGTGAATGGTTACAGAAGCCACCTTCAACCTCAAGATAAACAGGAGCATTGCTCAAGAGTCATCAGAGAGCTTGCTTTCAGCTCCCAGCAGGAAACGGACCAGAGTCTGACTTCTGCTGGGGAAACTGGGAAAAAGCAGGTGGTACTCTGGGGACAAGGCATGTGAATGGTATTGTACTGCACTTGGCCAAAACCTCTGTGACTGAAGAAATTATGATGGGTATGTTTCCTGAGAAACAGATGTAGACAATGTAGAAGAGAAGGCCTGTGGAATTGTCTTGGGTCTTATTCATTTGAAAGGACTAGAAGACCTACAGAGAAAAGGCTGGAATAATGCCACATGGGTCAAAAGAAAGAGAATGTAACTGCAGATGGGCTTCATAGGGAGCCCTTTCAAGGGCCATTTTTTCTTACCCTGCTTAATGTACTGAGATAAAACTAAAAATAGGACAAAAACGAAATTTGGCAGGCTGATGCTTTTAATTTTGTTCAAACTCCTGGCAAGTGAGAATAAAATTAATTTTCTAAAGTGTTATTTCAGAATCTTAAAAGTCTATTTTTCCTGTATAAAAATATTAGAGGAAGGTGTTGAAATATGATCACCCACCACCTATTATTATCATTATCATTGTGTTATTATTATAATATTTTGAATAAACCCAAAATGGAATATAACAATCAGGGATATCATTAGAGAAAGTAGATTTTTTAAACCTGGATCATGTACTAATTAAGTATCATTTTTGTAACTTAATGTAATCTCAAGCAAAAAAAAGTGAAACCAAAAACTTCACTTATTAATAGTTCCAAGGCTCTGCCTACACCTCAATCTGACATTTTCAGTTTAGTTTAGTTTTGTTTTGCTTATTCATTTTCACAAATAAGACATTTATATTGGTGGCTGTAAAAAGACTTCATCTTCTTTCATATTAAATAAATCTCCACAACCACCACAAAATATTGTGAAATCTGCTAGTAAAGTGAATTACATAACTAAAATCTATGAATAATATAAATATATGAAGAATAGCCTTAGGAAGTAGTTTTTTCAAAGAGCAATTTAACAAAATGAATGCAGTCAACATTTCACAATACAAAGATGAGGCCCACTTCCAGGCCACTGTATTCAACCTAAATTTTGAGAAGGGGCACTTACTCTCACTAATAGCATTTCTTAGAGATTAACAATTACAGGGGGAAAAAAATACATTCAACCAGATGAGTGACCAACATTGGTAGATGATCTTCAACATGTATGATGACCTTTGGGGAACTGAGAGTTGATTTAATTGCAAAGTTAAAAGGAAGTTTGTGGAATAAAAATACTTACAGGCATAGTGTTTAAAAGCAAGATTAATCATGGTAGCACTTCCTTTTCTGCCCTGCATCTTCTGTGGTCAGCATTTTGTTTACAACATAACAAGTGACAAGGACTACGGTATTGCAAATCAGATTACCTGGGTTTATTATTGGATCCAGTATTGGCTGTATGACTGTGGAAAATGTATTTAATCTCTCTATGCCTTAATTTCTTCATCTATTAAATGTAAATAACAGTACCTACCTCTTAGCTTGTTGGAATAATTAGATTATTTACTATTTTTTAAAGCATCATAATGATATCTGGCACACACTAAATATTATAAGTAGTAAAACAAAAAACAATATTTATGAACAGAATCATCAGTATTAATGTTCAGAATTCCAAATAATATTGAAAAATACACTTCAAATTTATATACATGTTTTCATATGCATTTAATAAGCCATTACATGGTTCACTGTTTTCATTGTTGGTTAGAAAACTAATAATAAAATCCGAACTTCCAGAAGGTGCAAAGGAGTGGAAATTGCCAAAAGTTTTTCTCTGGGTCTCCTTTTAGATTGCAACTATATTTGAAACAGTTATTTCAAGCTTAGAGTTTAGCTTGGTGACAGAGGAAAACAAAACCCACAAACAAACAAAAACAAAAGTAAAAGAAAGGACTTCAGAATAAAACAATTCTATTTCAGAACCCAATACTTCCAGTTGCCCTGAGTGATATGGAGCAAGGGCAAGAAATGTATTTGCTTTTTTGAAGAAAACACCTGCCAAATCTCAATTGTGTGCTCTTTACTCAGCCTTATGTACCCAAGAAGAATCACGGTTAAATGGTAACCGTGATTTAATGATGAAAACTAGAACAATGTCCCACCAAGAGAGGAAACAAGCTGAAATACCTAGCATTCCTCCTCTTGAACAATATATTCCTCCTCAGCCCTCTTTTTTCCCCCCCCTTTTTTTTTTTTAGTACTCACGAAGTGTTTCTGAGCTTTCCCTAGTATCCTAGCCCTGCCTTGCTCAATAAGCAAAAAATTCAGTTTAGTTTTATTTCTGGAAGCTCTAAGCCTTAATTTCCTCTATATAAATTCATATATGAGATCAGCAGTTCAGGGTTGTTATCTAAATGTAATAAAAATTGGTGTAAAGTGTTTAACATACCCTCAAGTACATAATATATAAAATAAATAAATATTAAAAAGAACAAATAAAAGGAAACACTGTCTTGAGGTTAGATGGATGTTCTTTATTATCTTAACTTGCCTTTTTATTGTTTTTAAAAACTAAAATTCACTGTGTCTTCTCAAATGAAAACCTCAGGTTTTGTGTGGCCTTAAATTATTTTCCAATAACTATTCTGTTATTATGCAACATTAATTTTAAAAACTGCTTTTAGAAGGCAGGAATTTAAAAATAGATACTATGCTGTTTTTTTTTTTTTTTTTAAACCTATCACCGTGTAAGCCCAGCTACTCAGGAGTTTGAGGCAGGAGGATCACATGTTTGAGGCTAGACTGGGAAATTCAGAGCCTTTCTAAAAATAAAATATAAAAAGAAGTGGGATGGAACTCAGTAGAGCATTCCTGGGTTCAAATCCCATTACCCCCTAGCCTCCACAAAAGAAAGAAAGGGGATAGAAAGGAAAAAGCCTACTACAGAAAAGCAAAGATTAAATATTTCCTTAGTTCTTAGTGACTTCTAAGAGATTGCTGAAAGGGTACTGACAATGTTAATTGTTTCTTCAACTTTTTTCTGTGTTCTTGGGAGTAGAACTTTCTGTTGTGTTTTCTAATATACATGGCTTAAAATGCTGCAAAACCCAAGGTTCATAGCCGTGTAATAGCTGACTCAGTGTTTCTAATTCATTGAGAAATTGGTTCTTCAATGTTCATCCTGAGAAATCACCCTTTTTCTTTTTTCATTTGTAAAAGATATTTTAATATCTCCTAAAATTCTATGCTGTTTAAATTATTAGACATTTTTTATATGATTGATGTCTTCATACATTTTTTTTATCTTAGTAGAAATTTTCCAAATTTAGGTATCAGAGTTTCTACTCCTGCCTTTACAATTGATTATTTAATAGTGTGGCCTTTAAATAGAATGAAATCACTTATAGACATATCAGCAGAAACATTAATGAGAAAAAGTGGATGAGACTTAATTGAGTGTTCAAAAAATCTTATTGAGGGCTGGGGATAAAGCTTAGTTGGTAGAGTGCTTGCCTCGCATACACAAGGCCCTGGGTTCAATCTCCAGTACCACAAAAGTAAGTAAGTAAGTAAATAAATAAATAAATAAAAATAAAAAATCAAATTGAATGTAAGCTCCTACAAATACAGGCACAATCTACTTCAATGTAAGCACCTACAAATACAAGCACAATGTTTAAAATTTTGAAAACTTTTTCTTTTTTGTTCTTAAGGAGCAGCCACAGACTATTCAGAGAGATAACAGAGAATCTGTGACAAATGCAGACTGAGGGTGCTGCTCAGATGTTGCTGCCAATTTGGCATAAATTCAAACACATTTCTATATGCTTTTCATTATTATATTTGACCATCTGGATCCTTTGTTTTTAAATCCCCTTTAATACTAAGGAAATAACACTGGTATTCATTTGAATGTATTTGAAGTGAATGAAAATAAATGTAATTTTATCATTAATTTCCTCTGGCAGTTTTGGGTTGGGAATTTTCTCATGTTCAGCAAATGATCATTGATCACCCACTCTGTACCAAGCATCTTAAAAAAAGTGTTATTGAAACACACACAAAAAAATCCTTCCCATCAGGGAGCTTATCTTCTAATTAAGGGAATAAAAAAACAACAACAAAATGTGCTAGATGCACCATATTGGATGGTATTAACTGCTATAGAAACAATAAAGAAAGAAAAGATATTTGGGGAGATATGGTTGCAGTTTTAAACCAAATAAGCTGTTTCTTGAATAAAGATATAAAGATGATGATGGAGAAAACTTATAGAAAGACAAAACAGTTAATGCAAAGATCCTGAGCTGTA